GAAAACAATTATATGCCTTGGAAAAGGTGATGGCCAGAATCCCAAGATCTGTGTGGTTTAGATACTGTTTGAAACGTGCCCCATATATGAGAACAAATGACTAGTAAAGGAAATGAAGGATCAATAAGTACGAGAATACATCCCAATTAAGTTATGGAGGGTAAGTTACAGAGGCCTTGATTAGTTAGCTCTGCTTATAGTCTTCCAACCAGACACTACTTTGGTCCTGATAATGAATTTAGAAACAGGAAATGAAATTATCAAATTCTATTTATTGGAAATTTGCCTACTTAAATCACAATACAAGTTTTGAAGAACTGTAGTCTTGATACTGTGCCTGTCACATTAAAGATAACAATTTTATCTAGTTTAAAACCTATGATTTTTAATCAAAATGAAAAAATCCAAATACATTAATAAATTCTCTTTAAAACACATAGAGAAGAAAAGATACTTCCAGTTTAGTCTGAGCCACAATTTGATTAGATGTCAGTGATAGGCTAATTAATTGCAGTGATCCATCCAATTAGAAGCTGCAAAGAGGCAACTGCACACGAGTGCTAAGGCTGTGGATGGAGAAAGAAAAACCTAACTTTCAGTTTCGCTCCTTTTATTCTGAGTGGACATCTCTTTGAAGTTTGGAAGAAGCTGGGTTCAGTCTTCTGTATTAGAATTTTCTTTCACTCTTTCTGTCCTGCTTTCCCCCACCTCTCTATGCAATATAGAAGGTGAAGTGTAGGGAAGGGTCCTCTCTTCTTACCTCCCTTGTACATTCCAAGTTGCCCAGATGGCAATTTTTCCTGGACTCAAAGAATAAAATTAAGTTCAATGGTTTAGTATTATGGAAGCAAACAAATACAGTCATCCCTCAGTATCCATGGGGGATGGTTTCCAGGACCCCTCATCGATACCAAAATCAGAAGATGCTCACATTCCTTATATAAAATGTTGTAGTATTTACATATAGCCTACATACATCCTACCATATTCAGTACTTTAAATTACTCCTAGATTACTGATAATACCTGATACAATGTGAATGTTATATAAACAGTTGTTATACTGTATTGTTTATAGAATAATGACAAAAAAAGTAAATACATGTTCAGTACAGGCATAACCATCCTTTTTGTTTCCTGAATATTTTCAATCCATGCTTAGCTAAATCCACGGATACAGAACCCACAGATATGGAGAGCCAACTGTATAAGCCTTTGACTTTGAAGAAGTGAGTCACTGAGAACTTTTAAAAATCTTCTAGTGAGAGCAGGCGTGGTGTTCCTTCTCTCAGGCTGACAGTAGTTTTTAAAGTTTCCATCCCATCAAAAACACAGGTCCTCTCACTTACCCTGCTTTCTTTACCAACAAGAATATTCCCCAAAAACAAAGAAAGAAGATTTATTTTTCAGGTGTCACTTGATCTGTGCACAGGGATTGTTATTTAAAGGGCACTGTTTTCTAAAAAGAAAGGCAACCACACAGCAGTAGGCAGAATCACTATAAGAAAGAATGATCAATGAATGGATATTATAAAATGCTAGAACTGGTTACTGAGGTAATATGAAAAAAAAAAAATCAATCTTATTTCTGTGAAACACTTTAAAGTTCTCAAAGAAACTTCTAAAGTGTTTTCTTTGGGCCAGCCTGGTGGTGCACTGCTACAGTGTGCCGCTTGGGAGCGTGGTGGCGCTCCTGCCGAGGGTTCAGATCCCA